CTACTCTGGAGTAATAACAACAGAACCAAGCAGATTACCTTAGTAAATAAACAAAACCCGTTAACTGAGCTGAACACTCTAGATCAAGGATGGGCAATAAGCCCCCTGAGGGCCAGACGTGGTTCTCCAGGTTTAGTTTTTGGCGACCCAACAGATGCTTTATTTACCTGTACATCCATTTGCAGCTATCATTGGCTGCAGAGCGCTGTTCCCGGCCAATAGGAGTGGCAGAAAGCGACGAGGACCAGGACACTGTTTCACACAGCTCCTACTGGCCAGGAATGGCAAATTGCGACCAATGGGAACTACAACCAGCCGTATCTGCAGACACTGCAGATAAAGCATCTGGTGGCCTGCCAGGGGCTAACTCTGGTGAGATGTGTGGAGCCCATGGGCTGTTTATTGCCCACTCCTGCACTAGATGGATAGGATATTCATTAGCAATGTCTCAACCTGAGTGATAAAAAGGCTGGCAGATTCTTAAGGCGCACCAGTTACCTTAGCTTTCCCAGGTTTCCATACACTGGCTAAAAATCCTTCTAGTCTGGGACCATCACTTTCCACAGCTCAGTCCTTTTCCCCTCCTGTGTGTCCAGGTTTGTTGTAGTAGGAGTGTGAGTTTCCCTCCCAGGATATCACTGTCTCCCTTTTATATCTTCTTCCTGCTTCCTGGAAAGCTCTTTTGCTGTGACCTGGGTCAAATAGTTCCAATGGTGTAGTGCAGTGTTTCCCAATGGTATTTCGTGGAACCCCGGGGTTCTGCGAAGTGAAAATAAGGGTTCAGTGAAAAAATTCCATTACAATAACATTTCATTATTTAAAAAAATAATATTATGTGATTTTTGTTTTTAAATATGAGCAATTAAACTAAATGTTGATCTCGTGACCTTCTTTAGCATTTGTTTATTATTATCCTTACTTATTTGTGGCCTACTTTTTCAGCTCCATATATTAGATTGTTATTAGAGGTGCTGCAAAATTCTTTCGAGTTTAAAAGGATTCTATGGCCAAATAAAATTGGGAAACACTGGTGTAGTGCTGTCACTGAGAGGTTTCTGTTGTACACAGTTCCTGGGGTAATCCCTGTGCTTGGGCGCATTTCCAAAAAAAGCCATTAACATTGTTGTACCTTGTGGCTGTTTTCAACCTCAAAACATATTTCAGTAATACTTTCATAGTCAAATTTCATAACTTCACATACAACAATAACACAGGCCAACGAGATACACATGTTTAGCAAGGCAAGACTTTTAGAATGATACCTCACAAGACATACTTTGTTCAAAACATATCCTATTCACATGAGAGTGGTGAATATTGGGGTGTCAGGGTATTATACCCTCCTCCCTGAGGGATGTCCCAGGGAAAGGAACCTGCTGCAGAGTCAAAGCCAGCAGGGCACGAAGCTATTAGAGCTGCCCTGCCATACAATCCAGCAAGGAGACAAGGGACTGACTGCTCCAAAGTGGATTTAACACAGTCCTTAATGAACTTTATTTGCCTGTTGAATTTAGTTTAATTTGTCAGGTTTATACTTTCAAGCACATTATTTTAAATCCAGTAACTGTTGATATTGTGCAACTTTGAGTAGATATTTTGACAATATGGTGTTAAGTTCCTTATTAGCAATAGCTTTGGTACTACAGGCAGTCCCCGACTTACGTCGGATCCCTAGATACGAACAGGGTGAGGCAACTCCCGCACATGCGCAGCAGCATTCCCGGGGCTCGCTCACCTGGGTCCTAGGATCCTCCTCCTCCTCGGGCCGGCTCCGACTGGGGTCCCGCAGAGCTGCCGGGCAGAGGAAAAGTGCCTCCCCAACCCCCCTGCCAGCAACAGGCTGCCCCCTCCCCTGAGCAACAGGCTGCGGACTAGATACGAACAGGGTGAGGCAACTCCCGCACATGCGCAGCAGCATTCCCGGGGCTCGCTCACCTGGGTCCTAGGATCCTCCTCCTCCTCGGGCCGGCTCCGACTGGGGTCCCGCAGAGCTGCCGGGCAGAGGAAAAGTGCCTCCCCAACCCCCCTGCCAGCAACAGGCTGCCCCCTCCCCTGAGCAACAGGCTGCGGAACAGCAGACAAAAGCAGCCTCTCCGCCCCTCCTCCCCCTATACATGCTGGGCTCCCTGGGCAAACAAAGACTCCACCAAAACAAACAAAGTGCTGGCCTCATTGTGTTAGCAAAAAAAGGACCCTCCTCCTAGAACCCTGGGTGGTGTGTGGAAATAAAGCTATTAGCTCAAAGCATGGTGCAGAGCTGTTTGGTATTTGATGAGTTACTCCTTTAGTCCTGAGTTTGTCACAGGGACAGAAATAGATGTGAAATCTTCTGAACAGGGGAACAGACAGCAAAACAAACATTAGAGGGGACTTTTCTCAGCAGACACCTCATCTTGAGAATAAAGGACTGAGGGAAGTGAGGTGTGGGAGAATAAAACTGAGCTCTGGAGAAATGTTTGGCTAGAGTTTCCCCTACAATATGTACCAGTTCCGACTTACATACAAATTCAACTTAAGAACAAACCTACAGTCCCTATCTTGTACGTAACCCGGGGACTGCCTGTAACTGCTTTCTTCTTAATAGTCTTAATAAATGGAGGGTTTTAAGTGCTATCGGATAAACTCTTTGGCAACTAAAAATGTGAGTTTGGGGAAATATACTAATAGGTGAACCTACCCTATCATTTTTGTCATTTTAAATTTATTTGCAGAGGCAAGCACATCCTAGATCTCCTTCTTTGGAAGCTTATTCTGTGGAGTTTTGGGGGGAGAAACTTTTTTTTTAATACGTAGGGCCCTTCATTTTCAATTTTTATTTTATTTATTTTTTGCTGGGAATTTATTGTTATTTATTACTACAACAATAAAAACAGGTGAAAATCAGGGGAAATCTCAAGTTGCAGTGGGGGAGGTCTAGGTTGGATATTAGGAAAAACTATTTTACTAGGAAGGTGGTGAAGCACTGGAACGGGCTACCTAGGGAGGTGATAGAATCTCCATCCCGAGAGGTGTTTAAGTCCCAGCTTGAAAATCTCTGGCTGGGATGATTTAGCTGGGGTTGGCCCTCTTTGGGCAGGGGGTTGGACTCGATGATCTCCTGAGGTCTCTTCCAGCCCTATAATTCTATGATTCTATATTAATATTTTTCTGGGTATATGTCAAGGTTTGTTTTGGTGGACAGAATGTATTTAGTAGATTAAAGCTTTGATTAATGGGATCTGCATGGTTTGCTGCAGAACTAAACCAGAATTCAAAACACAAGGCCACATCTGAGTTTTAAAAGCAATGTATATTTAATCCCCAATAAAAAAATTTTATTTGACTAACCAGCTTAGTGCTGAAGACTCACAACTATCAGCCTGTAAATATTTACATTTAATAATTGGTCCCTACCACTTGCAGCACATACACTCAACTTTTTATCCTTTTCTCTTGTTTTTGATTTAAGCATTACAATATTTGTGTTTGAAGATTAATTCTGATATAGATTTTTATTTTCTTCCCATGTTAGTGTGTCAGATCTTTAAACCGTTATCTGTTAGCAGCTTGAAATGTGTATGTGCTGGATGTGAGATTCATCGGTTCGTGTGTCTGTCTGTTTATTGTTTGTATCCTAGATTAGTACATATAGCCTAATTTAGCAGGTAGATTTGCATATATAGACAAACTAAGGTATAATAGTAATACATGTATCTCATCCTAATAAAACAAGTTATTTTTATTTCTATTTGAATGATACAAAAGTAGGGTGAAAATCAGAAATAAAATCTTACATTTTGTAAAAAGTGTGATTTTTTTTTCTTCAGTCAAATTAGTTTAAACTGAAAACGAAGGGGCTTATTCATAGGCCAAATTGTCAGCCTCCTTCTGCAGTCTCCCCCTCCCCCTCTCCGCCACAGCCTGAGACTCTGGGGGGCTGCCCCCCAGTGACTCCCTCTGCAGGCTTTCTGGGGGGGTGGATGAAACTCTGGGGGCTGCCCTCTGCTTCCAGCACCACTGCCTCTCCTCCCGTCCATGGCCTGCAGGGTGTCTGGGAGGGTAAGATTCTGGGAGCTGCTCTTGGCCTGCAGCCGCCTCTCCCATGTCCTGCAGGCTGTTGAGGTGGGGTTGAGGCTCTGGCCTGCAGACTGTCAGGGAGGGGAGGGCAGAACCAGGCGCAGTCTAGACGTGGTTCTTTCGAAAATAGAAGCCTTTTTCGAAAGATCCTTTAAATCTCAAAAAATGAGGCGAATGCCCTATTCCCTAAGCCAATCCAGAACCCACCCCACCTCTCTCCCTTCAGGACCTCCCTTATATCCTGTGCTGGTGGTCAGGTCGCTCCCACAGTGGGTGGGGGGGAAGGGAAGTCCTAGGAGCTGCCATGCTCCGCTCCCCAGTCTAATGCCCTATCCCCTAAGCCACTCCAGAATCCAATCCACCTCCCTCCCTTCAGAACATCCCTTATATCCTGTGTTGGTGGTCCAGTGCCTCCCACGGAGGGCGGGGGGGAAGGCTGGGACTTGAACACGCTGGAGACAGGAACCGTATCCACTGCGCCACAGGAGGAATCCCGCAACCTCCCTACATTCTGATCCCCGCCCCCATCCTTCCTTTGTTCCCGGGATGCGAGCTCCGTCCCTTGGGAATCTGGGGGTGGCTGTCCCTCGGGGGAGGGAGGTGGACTTGGCTTGAACCCTCGAATTCTTGCTGCGGAGGAAAATGAAAAAATGAGGTTTACAGGATCTTTCGAAAAAGGCTTCTATTTTCGAAAGAACTGCATCTAGACTGTGGTTTCACTTTCGAAATAGTGCTTTTTCCAAAGAGTGCCATGACACGATTATGCAAATTAAGTGTGGGAAATTCAAATCCTGGCTTCATTTGCAATTTCGAAGTGCCCCTCTGTAGAAAAAGGGATGTAGTCTAGACGTACCGATTGATAGATAGACTCATTCATCAGATATGTATTTATCAGATACAGTCAGATTTGTTTTATCTTTTTGTTTGTTTGGTTTTTTTTGCAGAAAAACTTCACTGGCCTGAGCAAGAGCTCTCTAAAAAGTCAGTCTTAAATCCAGAAGAACATAAACTGATCAAGAATGAAAGCTGTCTTCAGCACCTGTCCTCTGGAATCCTTAAGGATATTTTCACAACAGGAACCAGCAGCTACAATGTCCTTCTGCAAAGTAAAGAGGAGAAAAAACACCTCTCCCAAAAGCTGTCATCTACCCACTACAAGAGGCACAGAAAGTCTACCAAGTCTTCTGCTACCTCGCGAGGCAACGAGTACCGCAAGATCAGAGTCCCATTACCCTTGCTCAGCAGTGGCTGGTATTGCACAAACAGGCAGCCATCCATCTTTATCGCTAGCCCCGTGTCTAGCAGTGTAAAGTTTACACACAGTATTTCTGTTGCAGGGAACAGCATAGGACTGCCATCTCGACCCAAAAGCAAGGCTAAGAGGCATTATTTTTCTAGTATGACAAAGACAAAGCAGCCTCAGTTGTCAAAAAGCCATGATAAAGAAATAGATGTCTCTGGCCGAAAACTCTGTATACTAACTGCCATCAAGCCCTCCAATGTGGAAAAAGAGAAGATTAAGTTCTTCAAGTCCGATTTTACCTATAATCCTCAATTTGAATATGCAAATCCTGCATTGCCAAACGTGTTAGCTAAGCACAGTCAAGCATCCAACAAGTTTCTTAAACAGGTAGAGTTATGGTTACACTCATTCCTTATGCATTCCTTATTATAGTACTTTTTTACCTGTAGCATCTGGCTTTGTTTGCTTAGGTGAGAGAATCCCTCATTATCTCATAACAAACTGCATTAAAATAGAGGTGGGGGTACAGAAATCAGGGTAGGGTTTTGGATGTGTGGGTGCTGGAGGGCATAGAGCTCGGTGTGGGCTGCTCGAAACAGAGGGTGGGGGGTGAGAGATATAGAACTCAGGGCAGGGAGTTTGGAGAAAGGGGCTGGGAGACTAGCCCCCCCCTCCAACCTGCAGCTGGTCTGGAAGGGGTGCAGGGTTCGGGGAATGGCTCCAACCTTTAGCTGCCCACCAGCCTGCAGCTGGTTTGGGGCTGGGCCACAGTTCTCACTTCTGACCTCTTTTCAGCGCAGGGCCTCTCCTCTCCTTGCTGTGGTTCTCAGCCCTGGCTTCTCTTGTGGAGGAGCATCTCCTGGGGGAGACAGGGCTGTGCTACCCAGTCAGCCAGTCATCTTTCGGAAAATAAAGCCTTTTCCGGAAGATCCCTTATTCCTGATTTTAAAAGGAATAAGGGATCTTCTGGAAAAGGTTTTATTTTCCGAAAGATCCCGTCTAGACTGGTGCTTTTCTCCAGCAAAGCCCAGAGCCGTAAAAAAGCAGCAGCCATGTTCATGCAAATGCCACGGGAGATATTTAAATCCCCCGCGGCATTTGCAATTCCGACTGGTCTCATTAGCATCCCTTTTCCGGAAAAGGGTGCCAATGTAGACACAGCCCAGGTGTTTGGGGAGTGTTTAACAGAGAATCTAATATTGTAAGTGATGGTTACAAGCCCGGTTATTTTTCTGTAGGTTCTGTTTTTGTGAGTGGGGGCGGGCAAATTATTTCACTTCAAAACAACAAAGAAGTTCAGGGCAATTTTTTTTTAATTAGATTTAGGAAGAATTTTATACCCTGCACTTTCAAAACCACTTAAGTGTTTGAAGATCATTTTTATTGATTTGCATAGTTATCTTATTATATTTAGAGGTATAATTTGTAGTTGTATATTTAAAATATATAGTAATGTAACCCACTAACTCGGTTTTATTATGAAAAACAACTATAATTTATCTGCTTTGTTCTAAGACATGGCAAAAAGCTTCTATTGAGGAGCACGTACAGGAAGCCTGAGGCAGAGTTTCTCTGCCCCGGGCTTCCTGGAATCAGCCGTTGATCAGTTTGAACAGCAGCTGAATCTGGACGCCTGGGACAGAGCAGCTGGGGCGCTGCCGCGTAGGTCCCCGCAGCGCCTCACCTCAGCGCTGCGGGGACCAACCCGGCACCCAGCCCACAGATCCATAAATAGAAGTGAATAAGTTAAATCTTGGCATATCACTTCTGAAAGGTTGCTGACCCCTTAGACCATATCTGCCTTTTGAAACAACTACAATCATTATTTACTTGGAAAAATAATTTGTAGTGTGTGCATTCTAGATATCTTGTGCAATTTACAAGATGAAAACCAAGACCGGAGCCAGCACATGATACCCATGCTCATCATCAGTAATCATGAGTCTGAGAACCACTGCACTGCAGTGATGAGTTCCTCTTTAGCACCCTTACAATAGCTAAGAGAACTAATGGCAAATCGGGATTTTGGTTCATTCATGTCTTCTCTGCATGGTATCCTTTCAGAGTTCCTATTTGATAGAAAAAGGGGCTTTAGTTATGGTGGACATATTCTGGTTCTTCAGAGAAAAAATGATAGAAAAAGTATGTATGTGACTTTATCTGGGCAGCAAACCAACAACAGAGGCACCCCAGCAGACCAGGGAGACGCGGAGCAAAGCCGCGGAGGACGCGGGCGGTGGGACCGCCCAGACACACCACGGTCCCGCTGCCCGGGTCCTCCGCGGCTTTGCTCCATGTCTCCCTGGTCTGCTGGGGGGGCCAGCAGACCAGGGAGACGCGGAGCAGCTTTTCTCACCCTGGAGGATGCAGGCGGTGGGACCGCGGCACGTCTGGGCGGTCCCGCCGCCCGCGTCCTCCGGGGCGAGAAAAGCCCCGTTCGTAAGTACGGATCCGACATAAGTCGGATCCGCATACCCCGGGGACTGCCTGTATTTGCCTTTTTCTTTCTTTTTCTGTCTTTTTAAACAAGTATTCTTTTGCTCTTTGAATTATTTTAGAAGCATTAACATAGATGATTGCAAATAAGTAACTGCAAATTCAGGTCTTTTCCTTCTATAACCAATAAAGCAGCTTTATTACTAAATTGTGCAGATTGCACTTAAATTAAAAAAGAATTGGTGATACTATGAAAAAACAATTCAGCATGGAATGTTGGAATTTTTTTTTTAAATGACACCTTAAAAATATTTTTTGTGAAGACTGCATATACAGAAACCTATGAAATATCTTTTTAAAGGTTTGATTTCTTCCAGACTATTTCAGTAAATCAAAGCAGTGTAATAATGAATGGATGCCTTTTCTGATAGTGAATGGGTCCTCAGCAATATGATGTTCATTTTTAAGGACTGACATGTTACTGTAAGCTTTTCTACTTTATAACTAAATGTGGAGAACCTCAAATTTTTATGTCATATTACAAAAGCAATGAAGTGAATTGTGACATTTCTGATGGTTTCTGTTTAGTCAGAAACGGAACAAGGGAAAACTGTTCTTTTCAGATAGAGCTGTGACTAGCTTGATGAAATTAATTATTTTACGTGATTGAAATTGTAAGGAACACCATGTCAAGTCTTACTTGTTAAGAAATTGCATAAACAAATTCTGGACTTTAACTAACAAATATCAGCAGTCATATCAATCCCAGCAGATGGCACTATTTCCTTTTATTAGCTATAGAAAATTTCATGCAGATTTGAATTTAGACTCTAAGGGTACATCTACACAGCAGTGTTTCGGAAAACTGACATTATTCCAAAATAACATAGTCCCTGTCTACACTAGAAGCAGTGATTTCGACAATGTTGAAATGTCGAGCTGGAGGACTTCTTACTCTGACTCCTGTAATCCTCATTTTACAAGGAGTAAGGGAAGTCGGAGGAAGAGTGCTCTAACTCGGACTTCCTGCTGTGTAGACAGCACCAAAAGCTGCATTAAGCTATTTCAACTTAAGCTACACAATTGACGTAGCTAAAATTTGTACCTTATTTCAGCTTTAGCCCTGCTGCGTAGATGTACCCTTATAGATTTTATCCAGATGAACTATATCATATTATACAAAATGACTATCAGTAATAGCTTTACTAAGATGAGGCCATACAGGTTGTTACCTCACTTCAGTGTGAACTGAAAGTCTTAAAAGTGAGTTTGGGAAGAGAAGAGGGAACACCCTATAGTCTTCCATAGTGACGGATACATTCTGAAGCGATAGTTCAGTTCTTGTGAACTAGTTAACAAACAGTACCCAGTATGTCAAATAAGTACGTAGTGAAACACTGCTATGTACAGTTCCTAATGCATTTTTTCTATAACAGGACACAACTCCCCACCTCCCCCCAATGTATTTGCAACTTTTTCTGACTTTGATTTGTTAACATGATTATTTTTGAAGGACTCTCTTTTTACAAAAGAAACCACATACATTTTAAAAGCTTACACACGGTTGGCTTCCTGGAATGTAACACTGTTTACTGGATCTCCTGACTATGGGTATGACTACACTGTGTTTTATTTTTCAGAAGAGGTATACAAATAGCGCTTGCATTTGCATGCCTTCTTCTGTTTTTTTCCCTGGAAGAGGCTTTTCTGCCGTTTGGCCCCATCTACATAGGGCCAAATGTCAGAAAACCCCTCTCTTTCGAAAGCTCCCTTCTTCCTCGTAAACAAGGTTTACAGGAGCTTTCGAAAGAGGGTTTTTTTCCCAGCATTTGGCCCCATGTAGATGGGGCCAAACAGCAGAAAAGCCTCTTCTGGGGAAAAAAACAGAAGGAGGCATGCAAATGCGAGCGCTATTTGCATACCTCTTCCAAAAATAAAACACAGTGTAGCCATACCCTTAGTCTTTGTAATGGTCTTTTGGTCTTTCTTTCAGCTGTGTGCTAGAGAACGGTGCTCTGTCCCATCTTTGCAGGTACTGCCCTGTGTGCCTGTGCTCTGGGCTCTCTGTACCTTACTATGGCGCTGTGGGATAACTGCCAGGTTTTCCTCAGGCCGCAGAGATAGAAACACGGGTAGTGTAGTAGTTATGGAAACGCAAACTCAATTGATACATGGCTATGTCATGCGCTCAACCCAACCACATTTATTATAATTAGAAGACTTACCTGGTGTTTCAATGGGCGGGGACTCAGAAAAGGAGGCCAGGAGCATGGGGATGCTGGTGTCAGCGTGGGGGAGGTTGGGGAGGGGCTCAGGGCAGAGGGCTAGGGATGTGAGAGGGTGCAGTAATAAGGTTGGAGGAATGAGGACAGCCCAGGGTAGGAGTGGACGGTGCAGGAGTTAGGGCTGGGGGGTGAGGAGGGGCTCAGGGCAGTGGGTAGGGGTGCAGGAATCAGTGCAGGGGGTTGGAAGCAGGGGGAGCTCAGGCGTGGGGGTGGGTGGCTCAGAGCAGAGGATGGAGGTGGGCACTGGCTTCTCCCCGGGGGCAGCCCAAGGGGTGGGGACCACATACTCCACCTTCTGGCTTGTCCCTGGGTCAGCCTGGGGGTGGGGAGTGCGCACACTCTGCCCACCAAGTCTGGCCATAGATCGCAGAGCATTTTACAACGTTTTCAGATAGGGGGATAGAGGTACAGAAAGGTTCAGTGACTTGCCCAAGGTCATACAACAAGCTGTTGAACCCAGGTCTCCTGACTCTGAAGCCAGTGCTCCACCCACAGGTTTGCAGAGACTCCCATGCCAAGCGTTAGTGATTGGAGTTTCCTGTTATTGAGAGCTTCATTTGTGTTCAGTGTTCTTAAGAAATTTCCTCATTATTATTTATAATGAAGTAGTAGCAGAAAATATTGCATTCTGATTTGTTAAATGGCAGAGCATTTTCCTGGGATAGT